CAGTGCAATTCATTCAGAATGCCACCACAAGCCTATATTAAAAAAAAACACTTTTGATGGTGTATTTAAAGAGCAAAAGGTAGCAGATGACAGAAGTTCATATACTTTATCCTCAAGAGAGGATGAGTAGAGACAGAGTTACCCCATTTCTCTCCTTTTTTTTATTTTAATTGGAAATTTTAGCTAGTATGAAGGAAGTTATGGGAGTGTTAAAGATTATCTGGTTTAACTAAAATAGTATAAAAAAAATATGAATAAAACAAAAAAAATGTTGAATATATCTGCACTATGGTAATTTATGATTGGCTGCTGCTGTAAATTACTGGCAATTCTTTAGCCAATAAATCCTTTTGCATAATAAGCAGAACAAAATATTTTTATGACTGTGTAAAATGGCACAGATTTGTTATTGTGAAATTAAAAGCTAATATTTAAACTAAATAAGGTTTCAAGGAAGTCTATTTTGGCATCAGCCACCCCCCTCTTGGTAACTGTTCCTCTTTCAGTTGCTTCCTTATGTAGGAGTTCCCAGCCTGGTCGGTGCAGGCTTTCACACAACTAAACGGCACTTGAACAATAAGGGAATCTGCGGCCTGCACATAATGCGCATTCAATGTGACAGCAACCATCTGCTTTTCAGAGCAGCCTCCAAAATCCAGCTTTTGTTTGGGGGAAAACACAAAACTTTGCAAGAACTGATGTGTACATGTAACTTCAGTCTGGAGCTTGGATTGTTACAAAGTTTGTTTGAGTGAAGTTGGGTTTTAGTCAAGTTTGCCACGCGTAGGTGTTTAGATTTGATCTTGCCAATCACAATGTAGTGTACATACAGGCTCATTGTATGTTGAATGGACTGTTTAGGTGGCATCTCAAACAGTGCAGTTGTTAATATCTTTTGAAGCGAACCTGCACTTTGTACCTTTTAGGGTAAAGTAACAGGTGTGCTGGGTAGCCTGCTCCCTCCATTTACTAATTCTTAGCTTACCCTCTCTGCTGCGGATACTTGGCTTCCGCTTTCTTCACCCCCGCTGCTGATTACTTGGCTTCCGCTTCCTTCACCTCCACTGCTGATACTTGGCTTCCGCTCCCTTCACCTCTGCTGCTGATACTTGGCTTCCACTCTCTTCACCTCCGCTGCTGAAACTTGGCTTCCGCTCCCTTCACCTCCGCTGCTGAAACTTGGCTTCCGCTCCCTTCACCTCCGCTGCTGAAACTTGGCTTTCGCTCCCTTCACCTCCGCTGCTGAAACTTGGCTTCCGCTCCCTTCACCTCTGCTGCTGAAACTTGGCTTCCGCTCCCTTCACCTCCGCTGCTGAAACTTGGCTTCCGCTCCCTTCACCTCCGCTGCTGATACTTGGCTTCCGCTCCCTTCACCTCCGCTGCTGATACTTGGCTTCCGCTCCCTTCACCTCCGCTGCTGATACTTGGCTTCCGCTCCCTTCACCTCCGCTGCTGATACTTGGCTTCCGCTCCCTTCACCTCCGCTGCTGATACTTGGCTTCCGCTCCCTTCACCTCTGCTGCTGATACTTGGCTTCCGCTCCCTTCACCTCCGCTGCTGATACTTGGCTTCTAATCCTGCCTTCACATTTCTGATACTTGGCGTCCACTCCTGTCACCTTCAGCCCAGCACTGATAATTGGTTTCCATTCTTGCACCCTCTGCTGTTAGTACTTCCACTCCTGACACCTCCTGTTAATACTTGGCTTCTGTTTGCACTTCCTTTTGCTGCTGACACTTTGCATCCACTGCCACCCCTCTGCTGCAGATAATTGGTTTCCATTCCCGTGCCCTCTACTGCTCATACTTTACTTCCAAAGCTGCCCCCTATGTTGCTGATACTTGGCTTCCACCACTGTCACTTCCATTGCTGCTATTTGGTTTCCATTCTGTTCTTGAAACATGGCTGTCAGTACTGCCCTCTCTGCTGCTGACACCTGGCTTCCACTTCATCTCCACTGCTGATAACAGGTTTCCACTGTGCACTCTACTGCTCATACTTGTCTTCCAATCCTGCCCCTTCTGCTGCTGATGCATGACTTCCAATCCTGCCCCCTGTGCTGCTGATACATGACTTCCAATCCTACCCCCTTCTGCTGCTGATGCATGACTTCCAATCCTGCCCCTTCTGCTGCTGATGCATGACTTCCAATCCTACCCCCTCTGCTGCTGATACATGGCTTCCAATCCTACCCCCTCTGCTGCTGATACATGGCTTCCAATCCTGCCACTCTGCTGCTGATACTTGATTTCCACTCTTGTGCTGCTGACAATTGGATTCCATTCTTTGCCCCTCACCTGCTGATATTTGGCTTCAATTCCCGTGCCTTCTATTGATATTATTCAGCTCTTCAAGGAACAAAAGCTATTGGGGCATCTTGCCTTATTACCTCCCTCCCTCCCCAACAGCCATTCCAGAGACCACCCAAAGTGGTCTCTGGAACCCATGAGATGTTCACCTCTTCCAATCAGAACTAGCTGAATGGTCTGTAGTGGATCTGTGATTTATATAAAAAATGTATATGTAAAACTGAACAATAACTTTTTACCCAACTTTGGTTTTGGCAGCATCCTTGTGAAACTCTGAGCCAGAGAATTGAGAACATCCAGCTCGGTTCTATAGGCTGTAATCAGAGAGCCCAGAGAATAAGTTCCAGACACTCCCATCTTTTAAATGGCAGAATACAGACACGTTATAAAGAATTATCTATGTGAAAAGCTTTCATCTTGATAAAATGACTTTTTTTTTTAATAACGTTGACAGGCTGTGTCTGATTTGCATGTACGCATTTCTTACCCAAAAAATCTATAATTTCATGCCTACTATTTCAGCTGTCTCCAGTCTTCTATGTAATTAAACCAACCACCGAATTAGGAAAGAGGAGAGTTTGTTCACTTACCTCCATGGCATTTTTTTTTCTTTGTATACATTTTAAAGGAAACCTGCAATGAGAGAAATGCGTAGCCTGAAAATGTTAGTTGCTTTCTGCAAATGACGCAAAATCAGATTTCGTTTACTATGCTGGATCCAGATACTTTTGATCATCTACTGGGATCAGGTATAGTCTGTTCTGGTGCAGAGTTCTTGCCGTGCTTTTTGCTCGCTCCTCTGCTTGTCATAGCTTCAGGCCAAACACCCCACTCCATCCTCCTGCACATGCACAGTGTCCTCTTCTTCTTTTGCCCTTTTGATGGGCAGAGCCAGCTGTCACTCGCACAGCAGTGTGGATCTCAACAGTAATGTCGAGATCCGTCCCGGCTGCTGCACTCTCAGTATATCGCGGGCAATAGCCTGCAATATACTGAACTTTGGGTTAAGGGAGGACTCTAGTATATGTCCTCCCATGACCCTAAAGAGAACTATGGGGAAAAGCACTTACCCCATAGTTCTCTTTTAAGCAACTGGTGGAGGACTATTTAAAATATGGCTGGAGTTGGGCTTTAGGTATATGAATCAAGTTAACTGAGCTTCTAACTGCAACTTATAACGCATTAATACCCAGGATTAACCATCAATTCACATTCCTCTTATACAATAATATGAGCCCCGATTAAGGGGGATCTCTGCATACCCCCAATATGTGTTGGCTGTCAACTCTTGATAGACCGTTATATTGTGACAAATAAATATGACTTCTGGACCAACCACTATGGCTTGGCTTTCTGAACTTTCACTCCATATGCCATAGCTGACTTTCCCAGGGACCCCTTCGGGGCTCCACCGGACAAGAACTGATGGAGTGTCTTTATAGCAATACATAGTGCCGGCAATTTTTGCAGGGCTTTACGTTATGCACATACACACCGGCCCCTTCCCATTAGGAGCTTACAGTCTAAGGTCACTATATCGCATACTAGAGCCAATTTAGACATGAGCCAATTAACTTACTACCATGTCTTTGGAGTGTGGAAGGAAACCTGCACGGGGATGACATGCAAACTCCGTTCAGATAGTGTCCTGGCCCAGTGCTGGAATGCACAAGTGCTAACTACTAAGCCGCAACATCCTTTGATTTAATTAAAACAGTTTTTTGTTTTTTATTAAAGTGACATTGCTTTAGTTTTGCTTGAAGGTTCCTGTCCTTTAGGGTTTATACTTGGGTCATAGAAAAGAAATGTTTTAATTATCTCAGCTGTAAAATTCCAGTTTCACATATTTGACACTCGTCCAGGAAGAGCAGAATATCTGTGTTTGGGGATGTATATATTTAAGAGACGCCTGAGGATACTTTAAGGGCAGATGTGTTACTGGTGTACTGGTACCGAGAACCGAAGATACAAATAAATAGCCGTAAGTATTGCGGATGAGACAGGTGCTAATATAGGACGTTGTCAAATTAGAAGAGCGCCCCTGGATTGCAGGACACCTCTTATGTTCATACTGGTTCCAGGGTCAGACACTAATAAAGAGAACCTGTCATTAGAGAAATGCATAGGCTGACCTGTGGCTACAGCTTGTATGAGTCACTGAACCGCAAAAGAAAATGTCCAGCCAGAAATTTTTATTATGGGGAGTATGGGGAAGGGTTCAAACTATATAACTATATAGCATTATAGCTATCTGGGTCTGTTGGAGAGAGAGAGAAAAATGTATAATGGGTAAAGGTTAGAAATGCTAAATGTTTTTTTTTTTTTTCTTATTGCTGCCTGAGCCTTCCTGTTCAAGAAACAGCCGTACCTCCCATTTCTTGTGTGGGTGTCACAGGGACAGGAAGGTGAGGGAAAATGTCCCCAATGGAGGGTCAATAATCAAAAGGTATCATATCAAAAACTAAAAAATCTGTATTGAATTTCCGTAAGTTTTATCCCACTTCTAATAACCATATCCATCTAGAAGTTTGTAAACTTATTAAAGATGCCCATAGGACGTACTTTCTCAATGCACTGACAAAATTTCACCCTGTGAATATGCACTTCCTTCTGTTGCCACTTTATAATTTTTTTAAAATAATTGTATTGTAAGCACATGGCACGTGAATAGCTTCAGCCAGGGAATGACAGCTGCCAATGGCAAGATTCCGCAGACAGCAGCTGAATGTAAATACATCGGGTAGTGGGCTGGCCATTTCAAATTGCAATAGCAGGCTGGCTGTTGCGCCCGCCCACTGCTTGTTGTGCCCTTCTCACAGCGTGGAGGAAAGAAATAGGGGATCCAACCAACTAATCGATAATGAGAATAGTTGTTTATTATTATTATCGAGTACTTGGTTGCAGCCCTAAACTTAACGTCTGTGCAATATAACCTTATCATTTGGTTGCTGGAAGCAATGCATGATGGATATTTAATTTTGGAAAATCAAGATTGTATTACATCAAGCAGCATGGAAAGAGATGCAAAGCATCCAGGAAGTTGTTGGAAGTGATGGGCAGACGGAAAGCAGCACTCCCTACATAAAAGGGATTTTTTTTTCAAGTTTTTCTTTGATTGCATTATGAAAAACATCTCTAGTATGTATTCCTATTACAATGCTGATGTTGTAACAGGATTGTGTATGCTGGGATTTTACAACTCCTTTAAATATTCCCCACATATTCCCCACATTTTGGCTTGAGTTGGGTCATTGTTTCCAGCCATTAAGTAGCTGGCCAAAGGCTTTTACTGTTTCTTCGGGGCAGCTCTGTGTATAGTCGGCCCATGTAGAGAAATAGTAAGGTTCAGTATTGAGATTTGTGCTCTGTAGATGCATGGATGAACATATGTTCTGTGTAAATACAATGTCTGTGTAACATAAACAAAAGAGCGTAATAGATAGCCGTCTCTCTGGCCAGCGGGAACCATCTCGGGGGTCTCAGCTGTTGCGGTGTCATGGGAAGGGGAATGTGAGGAGCCATGATTGTATCCAGTTGGCATGTTACAGTATACAATGGAACACTGACTCTTTGACACTTTTTTGCAATGCTGGTAATAATTAAGCATTTTGTCAGCTCTAGAAAGATGTGCGCGGTCAGGAATGCCTAAGCTGCTGGTTGTTTCTTTGCACAGTTTTTATTTTGGTTTTTGGTCCTTTTAGGCTGTGGCGGGCTTACAAGAAGCTGTCCTACCGTGTTCAGTGGAAATGCCGGGCAGGAAGTTGGCTGTGTGTAGGGAAATGGCTTCCCCCAGAACCAGAGCTGGAACTAAAGCAGAACTCTGGGTGAGATTTGTATTAACCCTTGCAGTGGGGTTACCCAGGCACTGCAAGGGTTAAGTGCTCGTTTGTGTCTAGGCTAAAAAATAACAGAGTAATACTCACCCCATCCTCTGAGCAGGCCAGCTGTGACAGCGCTCCCTCCTGCATGTCTCCTTTTACGCTGCAGGAACAGTTTGTTCCAAAGTGTCCTCACAACCTATACAGAATGCGATGACTCGGAGGACCTTGGATCAATGCAGCAGAGGAAGAGAGACGCTCAGGGGAGCGGTCTAAGAGCAAGCCTGCTCCAATGATTGGGTGAGTATAACTTTTTTTTTTGCACCTAGACACAAACGAGCACCTAAACCTGGTCGGGGGGGGGGTGGGGCTGTAGGTGGGGTTAGCCCCCACTGCAAGGGTTAATAAATATTTTACCCGGAGTTCTAGTTTGTTAAATGTAAATTGCACCGACCTTAGCTGAGTTCTGTTTTTTTACTCTTTATGCCCTGGCCCTTCTGTCCCCCTTCATCATATCTCCAATTTGAGGGTTTGTTCACACGTATCCTTGTACCCTCATGAGATCAGTCCCTGCACACTGCGTTCTATTTGGAATATTCACAGAGGAACTGTAGCAGTGGAAGGACTGTTGGTCCCTATGGAAGTACATGAACTTTGCAGGCAAAGGAGCCAAGTGATGCATCAGTCTTTAAATGTCCCCCTGTGAATGGAGCGCGCGTTCTCCGGAAAAATCTATGATTGCCGTTACTTGTGGCTATGTGTGTTCCGCTATCCCGCAGGGAGCACAGCGCAACTGAACAGAGCTGACTCTGGATAAAAAAATGCTATAAAAAGGGTGTGAAGACTTGCATCAAAGGCCTGTTATACTGCATCACGGCACAGCAGAATCACACCCCGGCTGTGTGAACTCTAATGGAATCCGGTGCTGCTTTATATATTGTTGGTTATGCAAGAGGGGTCACCTTGCAGGCACAGATCCAGTCCATATGGAAAATTTGAAGAAATCCTTTACGGAGACAAATGTGGAGGTTACCATTGACCACCTTCTGACAATGCTAGTTGCCTCGCTCACTGGCTTCAGTGCTTTGAGTCGAGTACGCAGCAGAGCGAGTTGGGGTAAAATGGAGGCTGCTGATCTTTATACTTAATCTGCGTCCGTATATCTAGAAAGTGCAAAGACCAGCGGATCAGCATAGCCATGCAATTAGCATTTTCAGGTAAGGTACAGGTGCGTGTGTGCGCATAATATACTAGGGATGCACCGATACCAATTTTTCGGAATCGAGTACGAGTACCAATATTTTTTTTTCTGGCACTCGCCGATACTTAATACCAGAAGTCCCACTAAGGAAGCTGGACGGCGTGTAATGACTTGCTGCCCGGCTTCCTGATACTTCATACATACATACATACATACATACATACATACATACATACATACATACATACATACACATATATATATATATTTAGTCCCAGAGGTAGCCACTGCACTCTATTTGTAAGGTAAATGACGGGGTGCACTTTCACAAAAACACCCATACAAATCCAAGTGGATATAGAGGCACTCATGGGTCTTGCAGGGGAGCTCCATCTTTTCAATTTTTTTGACTCATCTCCGCTGCAAGACCCATAAGTGCCTCTGAGATGTGTTAAGCATCAGCATTTTATTATCAACGTTTCCATGGAGCTCAGCCCATCTTTCTCAAGAGTCATAGGAAAGATGGCCTGAGCTCCATTGAAAAGATGGTGCTCCCCTGCAAGACCCATGAGTGCCTCTATATCCACTTTGGATTTATATAGATATATTCTGATTTCAGGTTCAATACATACAGAGAATCCTGCTTCAATGTTTTTGAAAAGATTCCAAAGGCCTTTACCATTCATTCTTCCTATAGCCCCAAAGGGTATGGCTGCCCCCGGTTAAAGTGGTCCTAGTGTCAAAAAGTGTGGATTTCCCTAAGTTGAGCCTAAACAGTACCCTAACATATTTACTCCTGAAAAATAGCAGAGCACTTACTGGTATTTGTGTGTGCTAGGCACACGTGCGCCTACAGTCTCATAGCTGGATATCTGCAGTGTCGGATCTAAGGCACTTCTGCTTCAGAGTGCTAGTCTCAGGAGATTTGGAGTGAGATTTGGTCATGTGCTACTAATTGTTCTCCGTGGTGGAAGCTCTGATATGAGGAAGCAAGACTTGTCTCTAACAAGATGGCCACCAGCACACTGCATGGCAGAGCAAGACATGGTAAGACAGTAACGTGGGAAAAGATCAGCTATAGGGAGAGCACAGGCAATACTGTTGACTAGTCCTTTCCCACTGCTTGCCTTTCATTGGTCACAGCTTCCAGAGTTCAGTTACTATTTAAGAACCCCTTTCACAAGGCTAGCACTGTCTCCCTGCCCCATGTGATTGAGCCGAAGCGTTCACCAAGCACCTACAGTGTCACATGAGCTGAAGGTGAGTGAGTCACATGCTCTCCCATACTTTGAAGTACTCTGGGTAGTTTCTTGCTTCGTGGTGGTGGCAGTATAGTGAAGCACGGATGAGTGTGCTGCTGTGGAGGGTTCCACTACATTAAATCTGTTGGCATGGACATGGCACCGGTTTGCTTTAACATTTGCAATGTGTTTTTTATTTTTCATTTATACATTGAGACCCTTTATTTTCTATCACCTCTGTTGTATCAGTGCCCCCTTTTAATCGGATTAAGTTTTTCTCTTCATCGCTGGAACATTCCTGCAAGCTCGGGTGCCTCACTATAGGCAAAAGTGGAATCCTGCTAAATGCAATAGAGCTTTCATGAAAGGCCAATTTGGCTGATCTTGTTAAAAAATTATCTGGCATTCTGGGAAGTGACTTTCAAGATTAGCACACAGCGAATTGCTTTTTATGTGCCTGCAAATAACATTTATGTTTCGAGTGATGCCCTTAAAACCAAGTAATTTATTGCAGGACCTAATTGCTGTAGTTTGGAACACATTCGGATTGGAAGGAATAAATTTAAAAGGCCAGGAAACGTTATGAACAGCTGTCCAGAAATGTTAGGGAGAGATTTTTATCTCCAATAAACAGTCCTCTGTAGACGTTTATTACATTGTTCTGCTAGAGGAGAAATGTCACCCAAATGTGATCTAAGACCGGCCGAAGCCGCGCAGATGTCTCGCCGGAAACAATGGATAGTAAGACATCTGCACATCCTGGAAACCGCCAGGACCGGCTGCGCTGTAGCCCGCGACTCCACTGACTACCAATGTGGAGGTTCATGTGACGTTGTATTTGAATTCTAAGCAGAATTAAAAACTGAACTGAAGCCAAAGATTCTTTTTTTTTGTTTTTCCTTTTTCCCAGTTTTGAATGGATTAAAGGAATGGTTATAACGCCGGTCAGCTTTTTTTCTTTTTTTTGGTGGGGGGGGGCGGCGGCGGCCCATCCGTGTCACGTTTTGGGGTAGATTTTCCTTCACTTCTGGTCTGATAGCCAAAACAGGAAGTGAGAGGAAATCCCTAAGGCTGGGTTCACACCTAGGCGTATCGAATATGCGCGTTTGTACCGCGATTCGCGGTAAAAAAAAAACGTGTGACAAACGTGCGTTTTCAAGGGCTACCTGGCTGTATCCCAATGGATAAGCGCGGCAAATACGCCCCAAAGAAGCTCCTGTACTTCTTTGGGCGTATGGTGTTTTGCAGCGCGTTCCTACCCGCTGTAAAACGCCCAGGTGGGAACCATGCCCATAGGCAATCATTGGTCTTCACATGTTGAGCGTGTGAACCAGGTCTAATGGTCAGCACGGTCTCCAAAACTAGTGTCCCCCAATGGAAGATTTATCATCCTATTGCTGTTTTGATTACAACTCAAAAATTGTAGAGAAGTGTGAGCACCCAAACTTGTCTTGCCATCAATCTCTT